GGGAAAGAGAGAGGAACCAGTCATAAAAAAAAACACGCTGGAGAGCAGTTTTTCAGACCGTGATCCTTTAGTGTCACCTGAATGGACCAGCTGTTACACCCAGTGGGGTCTGCAGAGGTGTAAGTGACCTCACACAGATGTAAGCATGGAATCTCAACAGTTAGAAGTAATTACCAAGTGGGTGAGGAAATTATTTTAGGTGCATGCCTATCTCTTTTAAAATACAGAAGAAGAATCAGTCATACATTTTGTAAACTTTATTAACTGCTCCAGATATTCTAGGTGAAAGTGACAATCGCTACTGGTTTAGCAAGAGTGGGAAGGATCGTGTTCCCATGTACTGTAGCTGGCTTGTTCACACTAATGGTCACCTCAATTAATCTCAGCATTACTCTTTTTTTGGAAGTAGTATCATGTATTTCAGATGCTGTACAGTTATCAATAAAGCCAACAGAATCAGATCCTAAACTACTTTTTACTTACCAAACTAGGACATTTTTTTTTTTTCTCATTTAGCTTTTATTTATTGATTAAACTAAATAAAACCCACCAATCCAGTAATGTGCATGATAGCTGCTTTTGGAAATTTCAGCAAAGGGACACTTCAAATGTATAAAGAAAATAAACCTGTGAAGAGAGTCGGGTTCTTCATGTAAAGTAACAAAGCAATAATTAATTTTCGATTTCAAAATCTTCAGAATGGGAGATTTCTATGCAAGAACTAGATTTAATGGTGAAAAGTCCCCTCTTTAGGCAAAATAATGCTGAGACAAAATCATAGCAGAAGCCCTCAGGCACTGAGTTCTTTCAAGACCACCACAAAATTGATCTCCAAGACACAAAAATAGCCAGAGGCATAGGGTATCCTTAAGGTATTTTAGGCATATGATACCTTTAAGTGGGCTTCTTAACTCCCGAAACAAATGGCAGGCATTGAGTGACTCACATAAAGCAGCTAATACATCACAGGAGTCTTAAACTAGTTGGGGATACATTACAGCAAAAGCTTTAACAACACAGTAAGAGGTGAACAACCAAAAGACATCGAGAGATTCAACTGAAAGCGAGATGGTCATCATACTAGACTCCTCGTTTTTTTCTTGGTGAAAACACAAATGTTGACCATTTCTATCTGACAAAGAAAGATTCTTTCTTTTGTTAGATACTGTTCCTCATCACAGAAAAAAGGTGGTGAACTCGGAGATTAACAGCAACCATTTTGTCCTGATTCACAAAAGCATTTATAGGCCTGAGTCCCACTGAGCTCAATCATTTGTAGTACCGCAGTGTAAAACAGGAGAAGAAGATCAGAGAGTACTTCCTTCTTCACCGTGTTTTCTAACGTATTGGGAAAAGCTAGCCTAATTAAAGATGCTGTGATAGGAAGTTACAGTTCAATAACCTTCAGCTGAAGAACGTTACAACAAAGAGAGAGACTCATAAATAATGGAGTTAATAATAGCTCATAAAGAAGCCTGAAACTATTTAACCTTCTAAGCTTAATTTACACACTGTGCTTCAACTTTCATATTGGTGAGGATGGGGAATAGATAAATTGTGAATGTGCGTTTTAAACAATCTTGTGACTAAAGATTTCATTTCACAAAGGTACATACAAAAGTAATTTCAGAGAAGGTTAAGAGAGTCTTGTATAATGACTCTCAACAGCTTTTCATAGA